CGATGATGAAATTCGGTGCCAACGCTTTTAAAAGTCGATTTTTATCGATTTTATCGATTCGTTGTTGCTGCCCTAATACATACATACATATATACACACAGCAGAGACACAAGTGGCAGCACAGTTCGTTAATGGAAGACATTCAACTAATGCTGACATGACTGATGTTTGTGTTCAAACGCTTTCAGCTAAACGAGGTCACTAACCTGTTGTCTCCTCCTGCAGAGGTTCCTGCTGTAGAAGCTGACGCCACCCGCTCCGTTTCTACTCTTATTAAACTATTCAACCTAAACTGACTCCAATACTGAGTCCACCTGTTCTGAGCCTAACAGATTATTATATCTGCAGCAGTAAACTAATTCATTTTCAATTATTCCTCAATTTTTTCCCCTTTTTTCATCCACCTACACAAGGTTCTAGAACAATACCAATATGACACAAACCGTGAGCTTGGAGTGTAAGTCAGCTTTTTTTTAAAATGTCCAAGAGACGATTGTACTTTCTAAGAAAACCTAGCCTGGTAACATGTTTCCGCTCTTTAGTTTATTAATTTACTCTGTGTTTATCTGTTACAGACCAGCTTGGAAAGACAGAATGAAAACACAATGGGACATCTGCAAAATATTATTGACGTCCCTAAAGGAATGCTACTCATTAAACGGCAGGAAGCAGAGCTAATCGGCTAATCTTTAAAGAACTTCCCCTGGTGGGTCCTGCAGGGCGCAGTAAGAACTAACAGATTGTAAGAAAGTCTTCTTCCTCCAACTAACGTCGTCTTTGTGGATATTCTTCAAAATGGCACAAATTCAGGAGATCTTGAAACATTCATATTTTATGGAGACTGTGTCAAACTGCAAGTACATCATCTGAATCTCATCTTTATCTGAGGTCTTAAGAGTTTATTGCCGTGGTTACCAACTGTTTTTGACTTGTGGACCCATTTGGACATTTTGTCTCTCAGTGAAAAGTGTTGATGATTGGCCAAAAGTGGAATGTACATGGTAAATGGGCTGTACTTATAGAGTACTTTTTCATGTCAGGAGACTTGACCAAAGCGCTCTTTCTTCATTCAGTCATTCACACACTGATGTTGCTGAACTTCTTTGTAGCCACA